GCGGGGGGGGGGGTTCATTCAAGGGTGCGCCGTGTGGTACCCCCCTGCCTCCTCACCTCTTGAGCACCGAAGTCGTTGGATGGTACCCCCAGCACGACGAGCCCCTCCCCGCGGAAACGCTTGTGCACAAGCTCCAGCTCCTTCAACTGCGGCGTTAGCCTGCAGAAGTGGTGGAACACGAGCGTCTGTTTACCGCACCATAGTCGTCCCTAGGCTGCGCCGTGAAGCGCCCGTGGGAAACGTTGGTCGACCATGCTTGTGTGAGGTGGTACTCTGTGTGATATGCTGTGCGCTGACTATCGCCGGCCTCTGACTTGCTGTCAACATGTCTCTCCCAAGCCGCGTGTCCCCTTGATGGTAAGAGTCTGCATAGCCTAAGACTGGATTAATTTGCTGACTTGGCTTCAGTATAGAAAGTGTCCCCATTCATTTTTGGGGGCGCTTTTCTGTCTAAAATCAAGTCAGTCTTTGTCCCTCGGGACTGTACAGCCTCTCCCAATGAGCGGAAGAGTTTTTTTCTGGACATATAACCTGAAACTATATAACCGGGTTCTTGACAACCATTTCCCAAAAGCGGCGGTGGCCTGGGATATTTGCACCTGATACCACCACTATGGTGGCAGCAACAAGGAGGTGGTCTGCGAGTTGATTGGGCCTGTTGTCTGTATCGAACAGGCTAAAGTCACTCTGTCGACGGCAGATGAAGTACCTCACTTTCACACAACAAAGTACGCACAAAATAACAATATGCCACGTTCGGCATTGTCTCTCCCAGAGCTAACTTGAGTGAGGGATGAAATATGAAAATATGCTCACCCACAGAGAGAGGCCGTGTTGACGACGAGAACCGCCTTGCCTTCGAAATCGTCGGGGGGCATCGGCTTGCCGTCTACAATTGATTTGAACGCCAGCTTCGATCCCAACGGTATCGCTGGCCCCGTCTCCGCGGCCGCTCCTCTCCCCGCCTGCTCTCCCCCGTCCCCTCCCTCCGGCGACGCTCCCGAGCTGAGGCATCGCCGTGTCGTCGGGTACCTACTGAGGGTCGCAGCCGCAACACCCTTGGTCACTCCACTGCGCGCCACGGCTGAGGGGTTGAAGCGCCCCCGTGCCGATGCCGCCTCCGTTCCCTGCAGCCGCGGCCGAGGCGGCGGTGGCGGCGGTAGCAGGCGGGATGATGTGAACACCGCCGCCGCCGTCGAGACGCTGCGAAGGAGTGGTCGCCTCCCTGCAACCCTGAGGAGCACTGCTGAAGTAGTGCCTGCTGCAGTTTTCACGGCTGTCGCCATGTTGCCTTCTTCGGTGGATGGGTGGCGTGGTTGGTTGCGACTTACGTAACCGCGAGTGTGTGTCGTGAGGCGTCAGATTGGCGTACAAGTTACCCTAGTTGACTCCCTGGCAAATTGTTGGGAAAAAACACAACAAAGGACGATGCGAAGGGGGGCAGGGAAAGGGGGGGTGACGGCCGGAGCGGCCGGCGGGCGAGAGTTACGTGGCTTCCGGGAACCACGGCAGCTGTCGCTTGACTTGATACAAAATCCCCACGTTGGTGGTCGACCTACGATGTCTCCAGTAGCTAACGGTTTCGGGGAAACTCTTGACAAGCTTTTACTAAGTACAAAGAATTAATTAAACGCGTTCAGCGTAGCTCTTCCTTCTTCCCCTCGCTCCTCGACAAGCTTTTGCTTAGACATGGATTGTAGTGAAGGGGGGGGTCTTTCTGGCGAGCAGGGCTAGACTCACCCTCAAGGGATGACCGAAACCTTCTTGCTGCTGCGCATATCCGCCGCGAGGCATGCGCGTGGTGGTGTAGTTGGGTCGGCACTGATGGGGTCAGGC